CCACAAACTTTAAGTAGAGATCAACAAGATGACTTGGGAGTACGACATTTCTTTGTAATATGGTTATAACAACCACACTTGGACACACAGGTTTGTCATTCCCGTGTTTGGAAATATTCTTACCCTTGTTGGAAACACGAGTTTGTGATTTCTTATTGCGTCTGCGTTGTTTTTACCTTTCTTGGAATTTCTCCGAGGATGGGTCTTAGAAAGTCCACCATCAAATTTGGGTATATTCTAAGTGTAGGCATGTACTTGGGGCAATGGAGCGAGACTCTCTGGTATCACTGATTATTCTAAACCATAAGTTCGTAATGTTTTTCGGCCTCAAGTAAAGTTTGTATAAGCTCGAATAAACCTAGAAACGTCTTTCACGGTATTGTTGTTGAAGAATCCTTTCAGAGGGAAGCATAGTAGCCAGAGTCTTTTCTATTTTATCCAAGATCATAGGTTCTTTCTCGTAGAATTGCAACTTCGAGCAAATCCTATGAACAAACATGGTTGTAATCACTCACAATTTTGAAATCCTATATAAAGTTGCGTCCCACTCATAGTTGGCCGCGAGCGGTGACAAGTGCCTTTTGTTGTTCATAGCGTTGCTTAAGATAATTCCATAGATTTCATGGGTTCTCTTCCAACAAGTATTCAGCCTTAAGGTCGTGGATGAATATGGCTCCTAATGAGATATAGGACCGTGTATACATGTTGATCTTCAAGTGGTGCAACACCCTCTTCGTGTGGTAACACAAACTTCGATAAAGTCCACGGGATGCAAGACTAACTTTACGTCCCACGTTCCATGTGGATAACTGTACGTCTAGAGCAAGCAAATCAAACTCTTTGACGGTCATTGATCCTACACGAGGCAAACCATCAAAACATTTGAAGTTATTAAAATATTGTGGTGTGTTGTAATTATGAGATGCAAAATAGAGACAAGATAAATCTTGTATTATTAATGTTGTAAAGATCTCATGTGCATAATGAAATAATGGAGGTAGTCACCATAAAAGTGTAGACCTCAAATTGGGCATAGTCAGTATTACATTGAGATGCCAAGTAATTATGCAAGTTGTATAAACACGTCTTAAGGTAGTCATCAAGAATGATGTAGACCTTAGTCAATTCACTGAACTAATTGGATACGCACGTTGAGGATAGTCACTAAGTTGTGGATTTAGTGTAGATCCCACAGTAGCAACTATGGTGCTACCTTGTGTATGGCCAATAGGAATGCAAATTAACGGTAGTCATCTTTGTGGAAAGATGTAGACCAAATATTCTCATTTGTGATGTTGGGTACGTACATTGAGGATAGTCACTTAGTGTAGATCCTTGATAGTAAATAAAGGTGGTGCTACCTTGTGTATGGCCAACAAATAAATAGGGAACATATGCGTTATACAATTGATGAGAAAATATACATAAAATGTCGCATCCATTATTTAAGCGGCGTAGTGCTTTAAAGTCAAAAAGCATAAAGGGACTTAAATAAATGATCGATTGCAAAAGTGATTAACGAATAAATAATTTGTAAGATCATGGTCGTAATAACAAGGATATTATTTTATTGATTTGCCATACATACGAGGGGACAAATACTTTGAATAATATCATAAATGGATATTTTACAATGATAAAATATCACAAGTACAACTATAGTTAAAGTCATGACTAAACATAAGAGTACTTAATTTTACAAAGACATAATTATAAGAGACTAACAGAGTCTTATACGAATTAATGCTGAAAATATTAAATAAAATAGACACTAAGTCTGGCTGGATCGATTGAACCGGAAACAAAGCCAACATCGGATTCAGTGCCTCTGAAGGCCCAAGTAGGCAAGCACAAGGGAGTGGAGGGAGGGCAGGCACAAGCCAGAGCCACCGGCCCATTTGCCTGAGCCATTAAAGGCATGGTCAGCGGGCGATTAGGGTTACCTGCAGCCACAGAGCCAGGAACCGCCGCCCGTCAGCTTGATTGGAGAGCACCGCCGCAGCGAAAATCTCGCGTCGCTCCTCTCCTTAGTGCCGCTTTGTGCTCGCCATCTTCAGGTCGAGAAGACTCCCCTCGGCGGGAGAGTAGAAGCCGCGCCACCGACGGCCATGTTCAAGGCACCTCCGCGCTTGGGAGGCCGAGATCCGCCGGATTCCAGTATTGGTGTGACAGAGGTCGGGCGCCTTTATCCTTACGCCGTCGCCTTGCGGCCGAGGAGGCACAGTGCTAGCATCGGGTCGACAAGCGTCGCCGGCCGGAGGAGGACCTGTGGAGGGCCTTCGCCTTCATGCGACAGCGGCTTCCGTGAGTCATGACGCGGAAAAGCCGGTGTCGGGGTCACCTTCTTTGAGGAGGAGCCGAGGGTCGGCCACGTCGAGGAAGGTCTGGCGGGGACGCCCGGTCTCTGCAGCCTTCGTGCAGCTTGGGGTTGAAGAGGTTGCGGCGCGGGGGCAGCCACCATGTCCTCGTCCTCGGTCTTCACTTCTTTGGAGCATCGGCGCCATGACGGTGTTGAAGATCCAAGGATTGAGGACGCCACCGGGCATGCCACCGCCGGCCGCCACTTGAGTCGAGATCGACCGGTGTGTGGGCGATGGTGAAAGCTCTAGTTTGGTTTTAGTGAATTGATGAAACCCTAACTGCTAACCTAGTTTATCAAGTGATCATGAGATAGGTAGCACATTCCAAGTTGTGAAGCAAATGAAGATCATGACATGATGACGGTGATGTCATGGTGATGATCAAGTGCTTGGACTTGAAAAGAAGAAAGAGAAAAACAAAAGGCTCAAGACAAAGGTATAAATTGTAGGAGCCATTTTTATTTTAGTGATCAAGACACTTAGAGAGTGTGATCACATTTACATTTGATAATAGCCGTACTATTAAGATGGGTGAAACTCAGTGTCGAAAATGCGGTTATCAAAGTGCCACTAGATGCTCTAACTCATTGCATATGCATTTAGAATCTAGTGGAGTGCTAACACCCTTGAAAATGTTTGTGAAAATATGCTAACACATGTGCACAAGGTGATACACTTGGTGGTTGGCACATTTGAGTAAGGGTAGGGGAACTTCACCGCGCCCTAGACAGAAAAAGACGGAGGTCAGCATGAAGTGACCATACGCTGGTCTCAGATTGGACCGGTCGCGTCCGATTAGTGGCAGCGAGGGCGTGCGTTTTGGTCTCATGACCGGATCTTTGGTCGCTTCGGCGGCCGACGACGACAGCCAACAGTGTGTCCGGTCATGTTGACGTGGCGACCTGAGAGGAAGACACCGTGTGGCCGGACGTGGCCGTATGTCCGGTCAAGCATGACCGGACGCGTCCGATCGAGAAAAATCATTTCGAAGCTTCTTTGAAACGACCGGACGCTGGGGTTCAGCGTCTGTCACTGTTAATCTACGTCTCGATCATCTTCGACCGTTAAGATCGGGTGCACAGCATTTGAAGAGAGGGACACGTGGCATGCATCGGCGTGACCGGACGATGAGGTCCGGTCCGGTCGATCGTGACTTTGATGCGTCCGGTCGGCCCATATTCTATCGTGAGAGAGCCCAACGGCTCTATTTCGTGGAGGCTTCTATTTAAGCCCCATGGCCGGCTCAAGCTCACTCTCTTGGCCATTTGCATTGACATAGCAACCTTCTGAGCTTAGCCAAAGCCCTCCCACTCATCTCCATCATTGATTCATCATCTTTGTGAGATTAGGAGAGAATCCAAGTGTATTGTTTGAGTGTTTGCATCTAGAGGCACTTGGTGTTCGTGTTTCATTCTGCGGGATTAAGCTTGTTACTTTTGGTGGTTGCCGCCACCTGGCGGCTTGGAGCAGCGAGGATCGTCGGGCGGAGGTTGGTGATTGTCTCCGACTCGATCGTGGTGATTGTGAGGGGTTCTTGACCTTTCCCCGGCGAAGAGCCAAAAGGTACTCTAATGGATTGCTCGTGGCTTGTGTGATCCTCATCTTGTGTTGGTTGTGTGGCACCCTATTGAGGGTTTGGCGTGTGATGTCAATTAGCGCGTGAACCTCAAAGTGAGTGAATCGCCACAACGAGGACTAGCTTGCCGGCAAGCAAGTGAACCTCGGTAAAAAATCGTTGTGTCATCATTTGATTCCGAGGTTATTGGTCTTCATTGTTATTCATTCTTGTGATTGATTGACTCCTTCCTTGACACGGCGGTATAATCTTCTTGCTCACTCTCTACATTATCGCAAACTAGTTGTCAAGCTCTTTAGTGTAGCTAGTTGTGAGAGCTTGTTAGTTTTGGTTAGTGTGGCTCTTTAGTTAGCATTTGAGAGCACACTAACTTAGTGTAGTGACATAGTCATTGTGCGGATAGAAAATAAATAAACTAGAATTGTGGTAGGTGGCTTGCAATTTTAGTAGGCTAGCGCAACAACATCTTCGCCTCATATTTGTCTAACCGGGTTTGTTAAGTGTTGTTGTAGAAATTTTTTAATAGGCTATTCACCCCCTCTAGCCATTAGGGACCTTTCAGATGGCAAATGTGTAGTTGTACTCAAGCGTGTGTGGCATCGCGGTACTCCTTGCAAAAGTCACACCAAGATGCGCAGGCGGTGCCGGTCTTTGGCGACATCGGCTCCATGGGGACGTCTGCGGGGTATAGCGACGGGCTCAAAAACCACTTCATCAACAGGCGGCGCCACGGCTTGACAAGAATCGGTGGCGCCGGGTTTATCGATTGGTGGCGCCGGGCTTCATCGATCGGTGGCACCGGCTTCAACCGCTTGAGGCGCAGTTCTTTGGGGCCGCACCGTCAAGCCAAGACGAGGAGATGGTGGTTGGCTCTGCAGACGAAGACCGCGCGGAGAGAGAAGCATGGCGCCACGAGCGACAGGAGTCCATCGGCGGTGAGGAAATCGCATTGGAACGGAAGCCACGAACAAAGAGAGTCAAAGAGGCGGCGAAAGGACCATGGCCATGACCATGGGCAATGTTGCGGCGAACACGAGGCCCAAAGGCGCTCAAGACGCCGCTGGCGTTGTCCATGATGGCCGTGGTGGCGGATCGGAGCCACTGGCGAACTCCACCGACGCGGGCGAAGTCGCGAAGAGCAAGCCACGAACAAGATGTGAAGGTAAGTTGATCTTCGCCATGCTTACCGGTGATGGTTCGAGGCCCTCGGCGTTTCTCGTTCTCTTTGTCCGGAAGAGCAAAAGTACTGATAACGTGTTAAAAGTGAATGGAATGAACAAGATTTTGGAAACAACTAACTGTTTTCATTGATCTCTTTGGATTATATACGAATGAAGGGTCACATTGTACGGACGTCGTGCGGACGTGACTGTTCAAAAATTTAACTACTAATCTAATCTCTAATCCTAACTTCTTGTACGGACGGATGAGATCATCTATAGAAGGACATCTGTTGGTGTACTAGCGCCATTTCACAAGAAGGACATCACAACAATTGCTCTGAACAAAGAGAACACAAATCTTCTAGTTTCTACTGCTTGTATTCTTTTATAAAAATATCTTTACTACAAACGAGACATTTAAATTTGTTGCTTGGATTCTTTTATAACAATATCTTTACGTCATATGTTCTACGTAGCTAGCCGTCAGCCAGTCAGATGTGTTATTCTAGCATTTGAATTTTATCGGTGTCATTTTCGCTTTTTAATGCATCTTTAAATTCTTCCCAAGTCCCAATACGTCTCTCTCTCTACTCATTTCCTGTGCATCCCAACTTTTTTACCTCTCCTTAATTCCCGTGACCAGAAAGCCGCAATTAACGTGGAACAGAGGGAGTACTGAGTATGCAGCGCAAGCTCGCACGATACAAGACGTATCACATCAACCAATCAGATGCCAGACCCGTCAACCTCTCTGCACTAGTAGTAACCGTGAGAAAAAATCGTTCGCTTGAACTCGTACAAATCAACCAATCAGAGGCATATAGACTATGGACGACATCAGAAATCTCAAAACTCGGCTTGCTATGGCTGAACCTCAGGTTCGGTCGCAAACATCCTGGGATTAAGTGCTTGAAGCATCACTAATAACTGTGTATTGCTATCCTAAAGTCTCTGCGTCTCTGGAACATTGCAAGATTAACTTTTGGGATTTTTCTACAGTGCATCAAGGATATCAACAAATGCAGTGCAAATGAGATGTCGTATGGTTGCAATGGGGAAGCTTCTATTGCGTCCTCCTGATCTTTGAAAATGTGCCGGTCTCAGAAAAGTAAGTACTTTGAGTTCCGCCTCCAAGAAGGTTTCCTTGGGCCTGTGGATTTGACAGCTCTATTCCCTGCATTGCATAAGGGAAAATGAACATCAGACGAGAAATAATCCTATACCAGCATGGAACTTTTGTTAAATTAATGTTAGAAATTAAACAAAAGTGGGCTACCAAATGTGAATAAATATGTTAAAATGCACCCAAACATAGTGTGACCTAGCGATTAACCTTAGGAGAAAATGCTCAAATAAAGTCATGCTACATAATATGGAGCCTATAAGATTACACAGCGCCTGACTTCAATAAAAGGGAACATGCAAGCTATTCAGCATATTACAGTTAAATGACAGGTTAATTAGAGACTTCAAGGTATAAACTGGCATAGGAGCTATCCAGTAGTGAACCAAGATGGAACATGAAAAATGTTGCCCTATCTTTTCAGCGTATCCTAAAACATGGGCAAATTAAACAGACCCTCAACAAGACATGCAGCCAACTCAAGAAACAAGTCTCACCTGAACTGGTGTAAATGCCAAACTGGATGTTAATCCTGAAGTTGCACCACTGCTACCATAGCTCTTCTCCTTGAATCTGATATCAAAAGGCAGTATACAATCAACGTGAGGTTACAGGCATAGGACATTGTGAAAGACAAATATTACAAATACAAGCAACATTGTGCAGTTAAGTAATACATTTACGAGAACACACAATGATAAGCACTACTAGGATAATGGAACTGATTTGCGGTAACTGTACCTGATACACAACACAAATGCAGTATTTTGCCTAAACGTGTAAAGAACCAATTGACGATTAGGATGGCATGATGCAATACATTGAAATATCAAACTTTGTGAATCAGACTATAACATGTAGAAATCTATTTATGCTATTCTTATTGTGTCCCATCGTATAATGCAATGGAGGACACCTGACATCAAGCATGTTCGCTAATTTTTGCCTTGCAAACTTAAAACAGAAAATTGGAAAGAATGTTTTGCACTAGACTCCATCTCAAGTAGGTGCTGTGAAAACGGTACCCAAATATTATACTGGAGAAAGAACAAATATAACATACTTTTTGGCCACTTTAGCAGCAAGTTTGTTTTGTCCAGCTGAGACACGTAGCTTGCCACTCCCTGCCTGTCCAAGCATGCCATAACCTTCCCCCAAGCCATCACCTGATGATAGCAAAATGTCATTGTGTCACAAGGGTAATTGTTCTCCAGTATAAGGCATGCAGAAATTCAAATTCAAATTATACCAGACAGCATAAAATACGTCATAGCATACTGACCTAGTGAGCTCTCCTCTGGAATTCCAAACTGCATTCGATTTGCAAGCTTCATCATATCAGTCTGCGCATATCTGCAGAGGCAAGTTCACATGGAAAAATAACAATTGAGTAAATAAAAAAATTAATCACAACAATTGTTCAGCACATATTTCTGTTCCGGGAAGCTTAGGCTATAGCTTACCTTTCTTTCATTTTTCGAAGACGACGACCCCCTCTCTTCTTTTTAGGCTCAGAGTCCGGAACTGGAAGTGGCTTTGGAAGCTTGGCAGGAGGCGGTTCTTGCCACTTCTCGATCTTCTTACGAATTTCTTCTAGCAGGTTCCGTCCAGCTTTTCCAGTTGGATCACCTCTAATTGAATCAATCCTTGCCGCCAGAGTTGATTTTGCAGCAATAAGTCTACAGGCACGAGTCCTTAAAGCTGGAGGGGTGCTCTGAAATACTTCAGTTTGTTCAAGATAGCCAACACGAAACTGAGAAGTGGCGGGTAGAAAATCCAGCAAGATTTTTCCTCTTTGCACCAAGTAACTGAACATTACAAGCAGGCATTTTTGCAAGTGCTCCCAGACCACCTGCAGTACCCATCAGTTTGGAGGCAACAGCACTGCCAACAATTGCAGAAAGGTTTGGTGCAATGTACCCCATTCTGCTCTCTACAAAATCAAGCACTTTCTTCTTTGCCGCATCAAGGGTAAGGGCTCTGTCACATGCTTCAATGGTTTTCTCAAATTGTCTTCAGAAAGAGGCTTCCCACTTGTTGTTGATGCTGTCACTGAGACAACCATTATAATTGCAGAAGGTAAAAGCCCTTCCAGATCTACAAGTGTTAAATCCATCTCATTTCCAATCTTCTTGACAACACGGGCATAATCGATTGGGTGATGAACAAGGACTCCAGTTCAGGAAACTTCAACCTATACTTGTCCCGTATGAAATTATGGATTATGATTATTTCATTCTCAATATCTACTGATAAAGCATTGCAGTCAACAATAAGCTGGTACTCTGGATCCTCCTCCAGGATGAAACCTTGATTAGAGAAGTCAGTGCCTTTCTGAAGTGCATCTTCAACTTTCTGCAAACAAACAATAAAGATGTTGAATGTCAAAGATACTAACAGTATCATATTTTTAGAACAAACCAGTGTGGCATTGAGTATAATCACAGATATTTATTCTCACTTAAAGACACATGCATCAATGCTTGATAAGATATACCACCCTTGGTGGCAAATTATAGGTTGTTTTAGCTTTTCTAGATACATAGCTTTTGCTATACATCTAGATATACGATATGTCTAGATACATAATAAAAGTGGTGTATCTAGAAAAGCCAAAACGACCTATAAATTGGAAAGGAGAGTATGCTAAAGATGTAAAAATTGTACAACCTAAGATAAATGTTCATTTTCCCTAGTGCAAAGCCTTGTTCAACCTAATATCATTGTTCATTTTCCCTACAACCACATTAATGCAGATTCTACTTCCACAATAACTAATGAAAGCCAAATTTATATAAAATACCAAGAATGCTCAAGAAATTGGGGGCAGGTTTCATTACATACTTGCATTATATCATTATAGCGTTGTGTCTTTTGCAACTTTGAGACACTATCAAGTTCATCATAATTAAGAGACTCAAGGTCAGGCATGTCATCATCATCTTCTTCTCTACCCGCTTCCTCAGCATTGTCTTCTTCCTGAAAAAATTTTACAGCAGGTCAGCAAAAACCCTGGTAAACCCCTTAAAAATACAGTTACATGAAATAGAAACTAACTCACAGGATAGCCTTCATTGTCTGACAGTTCATCCAGATCCGCTAGAAAAGAATCAGCAAGGTTTGCCTGTAAAGTGGCACCATATGAGGAAAAAAAATGAAATGGCAATGGAATAGGTGTTAACTTGGCATAAGATACTCAACAGGAGAGGAGATGACCTCACCATGATATCGGTGTAAGTTGTTCCAACAGCAGATAGAACTCCAAAACTAGGTTTAACAAGATGAGTTCAGTGTTGCTTCTGGTATCTATGTCCTTCACCTTCTTTATTGAATGGGACAGTCAGCTCACCCTAATATGTAACAGCAGGTTAGGGCGTATCAGCTATTGTAATAAGGTACAGCGCTAGTAAAGTAGGAGAATCACTGTAGAATAGGCCACTATGAAGGTTAGAACAAACGAAACGAAAATCTGCTAGTGAACTCTAGTACTCATAATGCATGTATCGAATCAAAAAATCTATAGAATAGAAGTATATAGCAATTCAATCAAAACTTTATAATAAAGTATCGAATCAAACCCAGTGGGGTAATCTTTGCAAAAAAACGAACAATACATGTATACACTAATTTTTAGATCAGATCGGAATACGAATAGCCAAATAGCTTACGTTAGGGTTTGGGAAAGTAGCGGACCCAGTAAAGGGACATGGATGTACACATGTACACCCGATAATTTTTGCAAAAAAAAAAAAGTTCGAATCCAGTAGTTATCAAATAGCCAAATAGAAAGTTAGGGTTTGGGTGCTCGGTTTTGCACAACAGGAGAGAAGGGATGAGAGTACCTGGTGGTGCCCGTCGCCGGCGAAGAGACCAACGAAGTCCTCGGCACCTGGCGAAAGGCGGCGGCGGGCAGCGGCGGTGGCGGAGGTTGTAGCACACCCAGCCGTCGCGCAGACGTGGGGAGAGAGAGAGCACACGCCGGCACGCGAGGTGAAACGACGGATGCGGGCATGCGGCGGACGGCGGTACCAGTCCGGGGTTTGTTCGGCCCAGCGGGGAGCGAACCGACACGGGCCTTCTCCTGGGCCGTTTTGTCACGCGTTTCTTTTGCATTTTTTTCTTTTTTCTTTCTTTCTCTCTCTTTCCTATAATTTTTAGAGATTTATTACTCCTTTGTAGTCACATGAGATTTCGCATTTCCATCGGTCACCCGCCTCTCGTGCGCCCACCCCACCCCTTCTTCCCCAACTTCGGCGGACTTAGAAGAGAAGGGGTTTGGAAGAGGAAGGCCGGTCAAGTGGTGGGGACGATGGCAGAGCAGTTTAGGGGCCCTAGCGGCGGTGGAGACGACCGGGCCAGGTCGGCGGGGCGTCGCGGTAGTGCTCGCCGGTGAGCTTGCCTTGCATTTAGGAGAGGGCGGGGTCAAGGGGCGGGGGCCGGGGCAGGCCGAGGAGGAGACAACTCCTGGGCGCGAGCGGCAGAAGGAAGAAACTAGGTAGGAGGAAGAAGAAAGCACACCATTCGTTGGATCTTGATCCAACAGTTCAGGATGTTGACTGACGCTTAAACAGATCCTCGGTCACCTGAGCCCGACACACACCCTAATTTGTATTAGGTGAAAACCTTGTGCGTTGTTGTAGGATTTATAGGGATATTATTTGAGTGGTGATGCTCTCATGATATTAGGATGATGGGAGCAAAGCATCCTGGGACGATGTGATTATAGAAACACGTGAATATGCAAGTTGAGATAATAATAGCATACAATTGCTTAATCCTATCATGCTAAATGCAAGAGGCATTTAGGTAAAAAAAACTCATCACACAACCACGGAAATTCCATGTATGAAAATAAATATACAAATCATATAGGGACATGTATTCCTCGCAAAGTGGTAACTGAGATGATATTTCTCTTGACGAACAGAGTAAGGAACTGTGCATGAGAGTTTTTTTTTTAGAAGTAAGAGAGCAAAATATTGAGAAGTTAAAATGTGTACGACAGCAAAAGTTCATATATACAGCACGTACGTAAAGACTCTAGGGCTATTCAATCCTTGCTGATATTTTTTTTAAGAAAGGACAGCAAAAGTTTTACCGCGATTTCAATTAGACGAAAAAAAGGCAAGTGTCAACCTAGTTTTTTCAATGAAAACTAAGCCAGAAAAAACCATATAACCGAGAAAAGAATCCCACTCATCCTGCACAACTTTACAGCTGTCACAACTCACTCCATTACTTGCAATTTGATCGAATCGACCCAACTAATAACAACTACCAAACTAACAACAACTTGGCCGAAGAAAAAGACCCAACTAAGACACCTCAACTAGAAAAGACGATGGAGCACCGAGCACCACCACCCTTAGAGAAGCACCGTGGCACATGGTAAGAGATCAACGGCGAAAAACTAGATAGCCTAGCAGAGCCTTCAAGAAGGAAACGACGCCAAAAACGTCGACAAGCTAGCCCGACGAGGGAAGGTTTTCACCTACAAAATCTAGCACGGTAGGAGGAGAGGTAGAAAAAGACGCCTTCAAGAAGGCAAACGGCGTCCACAGACGTCGTCGTCTGAGCTTTCGCCTTGACCTCATACAACCTCCATATCGCCGCCGCTAGAGACCCAAACCTACGAGGTAGGATGCGTCGAGAGGTCGAGATCAGCCCGCTTGTGCCACCACCGCCACAAGGCGAACGCTTGTCAGGAGAAGCGCCGGGAGAAGCCCGACGAAGAGTCCGCCCCTCACCGGAACCGCCAAAACCGGCCATCAACAGGCAGCTCTGACCAACTCCGACACAGGGAACAACCCAAGCAAAGGGAAGGCAGCTGGTGGGGAGAAGAGGGCCGAGATCAAAAGAAGTCCCTAGTCACCCAGCTCACCAACGTCCCAACCTCTGCCAAGCCTACCCCGCATCAATCCACGCCACGCAAGGACTCCAACAGACCTCGCACCGATTTGCCGTCGTCTGCACGCCTGGCCCCCGACCCTCCACGGAACTGAGCACCGTAGCCCGTAGAAGTCTGAGAGCAGAGTGCAGCATGCCAAGACGCACGGCAGCCCAAGCCACGCGATAGCACACACACACGATATCCATGCCGCCACCACACACGACGCCGCCGCCACTGTGGCCCGCCCACTAGCGTCGTTAGCCCACCCGCAGCACGCGCGCCCACCGGGCCGCACCAAGACCACCACCGAGCCACCATCGAGGTCTACACCGGGCGCGAGCCGACCCAGACCCGGTCCGTCTGCAGCCTGAACACATTCACTGCATAGAGCCTGCCACCACCGTAGTAGCCCCACCCATCATCGGGCGCGAGCCGACCCGAACCCAGATCCGTGCACGGGGACGACGGATTCGGCCAAGAGGACCCGCACTCACTGGCTGGGTGAAAGGTCCCAATGGCTAGAGGGGGGGGTAAATAGCCTATAAAAATTTCTACAACAACACTACACAAAGCGGTTAGACAAATATGAGACGAAGCGAATTTTATGCTAGCCTATTAAGAATGCAAGCCACCTACCATATTTCTAGTTGCTATTGTCTATAAGCACTCAAAGGCTATATCACTATACTAAATTAGTGAGCTCTCAAAGACTAACTAAAGAGCCTCACTAACCACTAGATTCACGACCCTTGCTTGCCCTTAAAACTAGCTACACTAAAGGGCCAAGCTACACTAAGAAATGTAAATGCGTGGGAAGGATGGAGTGTTATACCGCCATGTAGAGGAATGAGCAAATCACCAAAGGAGCCAATCAATCATAAGAATGAATACCAATGAAGACCAATCACCTTGGAATCAAATGATGACACAATGATTTTTTTATCGAGGTTCACTTGTTTGCTTAGGTGAGCTAGTCCTTGTTGTAGCGATTCACTCACTTGAAGGTTCACGCGTTAATTGGCATCACACGCCAAACCCTCAATAGGGCAACACAACCAACACAAGATGAGAATCACACAAACCACGCCAAGAATCCACTAGAGTTGCCTTTCGTGATCTCCCACGGAAAGGCACAAGAACCCCTCACAATGTCGATAATTGGAGCCAAGCAACAATCATCAATAGCCACTCAATGATCCACCAATCACCGGGCCGTCTAGGTGTCGGCAAACACCAAAAGTAACAAGAACTCCACCAGCCCAAATCACTCAACTAATGCCACAAAATGCTAGAACACTAAGCAATGCATTAGAGGCTCTTCAATCTCACTCAAGATGACGAAATCAAGTGTGCAAGTGAGTGGAGTGGTGTGCTTAGCTCTCAAAGAGTGTATGCAGCTATTAGAAGTGCCAAGAGAGTGGCCAAGCCGGCCACTAGCTCTATTTATAAGCCCACAAGCAAATAGAGCCGTTACCCCTTTGGAACAGCTTTCTGCGAGAGCACCGGACAAGGAGGTGCCTAACATCGGACATGGCGGTGCCCCTCCCAATGGTCACTTTCCAATGACTAAAAACTAGCCGTTGGGGCATCGGACAGGGTGGCGGTGGCACCGCCCCTAGGGTGGCGGTGACCACCCGGCCAATCAGCTCGAGAGACCAAGTCTCTGGAGAAAAGAGGTGGTGCACCGCCCTCAGGGCGGCGGTGCTCGCGGCGGTGACCTCCCTATTTTCCTCTGCTCTCTAGATTTGTATGACGGTGCCACCGGACACCCATGGCGGTGCCAGGGGCGGTGCACACCGGTCACTCCGGTGGCCGCCTCACTCTTCCTCTTCTCTGCCGGGTCCAGGTGGGCACCGCCAGGTGGCGATGCCCCATCAGTGCACCCCACTCTCGGCCTCCTCTGCCGATCACCACCACAGGGGTGGCGGTGCACTGGACATGGCATGGTGGTGCCCCCATGGCAGCACCCCAAGCCCGGCAATACCTCCTTTTCTTCATCTTTCTCACCACCTTTGCAAATGTGCTAACACTCCAAGTGTTTCACCATCACGTGCAGTGTGTTAGCATTTTCACAATCATTTTTTCAAAGGTTAATCACTTTCTCACCGAATATGCACTAGGCCAAAAATGCACATGCAAGTTTTCCAACACCTAGTGGCACTAGATGATTGAGTTGTCCGATAAGAGCTCCCCTCTTAATAGTATGACCATCTTTCTTAAATGTGATCACACTTGTTAAGTGTCCCGATCACCAAACCAAAAAGCTCCTATTAAGTTTCACCTTTGTCTTGAGCTTTTTATTTTTTTTTAGATTCTTCTTTTCAAGTCTAAGCA